TTTTTTTTTTTTTTTAATTTTTTGTTTACGAGTTAATTAAGATAATATAATAATAGGATGACATAATAATATAAAAATCGATTACTCGATACACATTTATATTCTATGCATTTCGCAAGAGACTTAAATCTAATGTTCGATTTTACTTTAATATATATATGTATATGTGTGTGTGTGTATGTGGATGTTGGATGGGATGAATGTATGAGGGTATATATATATATATCGTCAGAGATCACTAACGTTGATCGATCAAAGTTACGACGGCCTTAAAGTTGGAGGCCTCGACCCTTCCTCGATAACCCCACTTCGTGCTATTTCAAATCGTACGGCATTCGACTCGCAATCGGGACTGAATTAAGGCCGATCGCTTATCCGATACGTGTGCTCGTGCTTTCAATGATGAATCTTTCTCTTAACGAAATTTTCTTTCTTTTTCTTTTTTTTTTTTTTTTTCAATTTAATTTTTATTTTCATCTTCCTTGACCTATACTAATGAAAATTATATAATGGGAAAAGTTAATGAGAAATTAAAAACCCAAAATATAAAAAAGAAATTATTGATGACGATTGACTTTTTCAAAATTTTTACTATAAATAATTATTTATTTATATATTTTAATTTAATTTATAAAAATAATTTTCTTTTTTTTCTTTTAACATAAAAATTCTAAAAACAATATCTTATTATCGTTACCTAATTTGATCTAACAATTTACTTAGGTTAATTTCAACCATCCTCTTATTTTTTCTCGTCTTTTTTTTTTATTCTTTTCTTGTTTTTTTTTATTCATAATTTTAATAATAAACGTAAACAATTTATTCACGATAAGATTGTTTTTCTCTTTCTTTCTCTGCCTATCTATCTAACTATTTCATACGCGTCATCACTTTTATTAAAGTTTTTTCCCTAGTCACTTCTAGTAAATAATATATATATACATGTATATATTTTTTAACTTTTTGATCAGGTCAAAACCTTTTGAGGTCATAGTACGTATGAGAAATACAAATAAAAAAATGACAGACGAATGAAACTAATCAAATTGATTGGTATATATATATATATATATATATATATATATATATATATATATATATATATATGTATAACATATATAGATATAGACATATATAGAGGAATTTAGAAAAAAAATTTGCACATGTGAAAATGATGATGTATTAGTGCATCATATGATTTCATTATACATATCTCTCTCTCTCTCTATATATATATATATATATATATATTTCTTTTTTTTTCTTTCTCTTTCTCTCTCTCTGTTTCTCTTTTCTTTATCTTTCTCTGTCTTTCACTGTGTGTACGTTTTAACTTAACGTAGATTATCTAGACCACCGAACGGTTCCTTTCCTCTTACGTCGAATTGACGTTACATGCTGATGGGTTCTTTTATTAGAAAATTGCCTCCGCGGGCAGAGTGCGCGTACTAATACTACATACCTGAACGATAGTCTCTTTTGAATCCTATTTTTGATCGGCGTAGAAAGTATGCGTTTTCTTCTGTGTGTTACACGTTCTGAAAAAAAAAAAAAAAAAAAAAAACAAAAAAAAAATAAAATTAAAAGAAAAAAAAAAAAAAATAATAAAGAAAAAAATATATGAGAGAAAGAGAAACGAATGAAATAAAATGGGTTGATCTAAAGATTACAAATATAATTGAAAATAATTATCAAAATTTTGGTAATCATTTTTCTACGTTTTAATAAAACAATAAACGTTAATTTTAATTCATAAAACGTCCCTCAATATTTTTAACAATTAATTTTAATTTAATTTAACACGATTTGCAATTAATGTTTTTTTCTTCTTTCGAACAAAAATTTGCAGAGTATTTGTTCCAAAGTACCCAGGAACACATTTGAAATATTTTATACATTTAAAAAATAAAAAAAGAACCATATGAAAAATAACAATACATCGCGATCACTAATAACAAATTTAAATAATAATAATAATCGTAAATTTTTTATTGCTGTTTCTAATTATTTGCTTCAGATTTTTTTTTGGGGAATTATAAAAAAAAAATAAAAATCCCCAAAAATTCGTATTCCTCGGGGCAAGTGAAAAGGGAGGGGGATACGATATCAAAAGAGATATCGATATCCTCCTCCTCCTCCTCTTTGAGGTCATAAGAGGAACAGAAGTTCAACATCGGAAAGTGTTTCCAACGAGGAATTTGGTATAATTTTGATTTCAGCGGTGTCGAGTGCAAAGATGAGGTTTATAGCGTACGCCAGCTCGTTGCTCGTGACTCAGAAAAGAAAACGGTGAAATCTGAGCCTTTGGAAAACGTCAACAACAACAACAATAACAAAGCAATTCTTGACGTTGAGACGACGACAAAAACGACGAAAACGACAAAAACGACAAAGACGACAACAACACCGCCATTGGAGGAGTCATCGACACCTAAAGAAATTTTAGCTAAATCTGAGAACATAGTTGCACCGATCGTTGTTCCGTTACAGGAACAAAATCGTAACGAAAACAACAACAGACCACCGCAATCTGTTACAGCTTCGATATTCCGATCGGTTGCATCGATATCATCCAATCAGGAAACGAAAAAGGATATTGATTTAAAATTAAACGAAGGAAATTCGAGAAAGTTGCCAATTATTTTGGGCAAATCTTCTTCTCATCATCATCCGGTTGTTGCTCAAACTACGAAAAAAATTGTCGAGGAAGTTGTTTCACTCAAAGAGAACGATCAACCCAAGAAACGTCGTCAAACTGGACGTACCGAGTTTATCTTTCAGGTAGATAATTACGATTATTTAAAAAAAGAGAAAAGAAAGAATCCTTTATTGTTGAGATTAATAAGGGAAGGACAACAAAAAATAATATTTAAATAAACACATTTTTATAGGGTAAACCTGCATTGGAATACGATTTCGATTCAGCAGTACGTCGTGATCGTACATTGGCGATCAACAGACAATTATATGCAACACTAACATCAACGATTAATAATAATAATAATAATATTAATCAATATCAACAATCGCAACAAACAGAATTACCACCTCAGCAAGTGTCTTGCAGGCCGCCACCTCAAACGGCAACCGCGAGTATATTCGCACCTCGTACCGAGGACATGAACAAAGGTTTTTTGACTTTCAGCGAGGATCAGCCAGGTCTTACCAGTGGGTGTCACTTTTTCCTTAATTTTTTTTGTTACCTTTGCTCTTTTCTCTCTACTTTTTTTTTTCTTCTTGGATATTTGACAGAATAAGAGGTGCGTGAAAGTACGTACTTGACGATTTCTGACAAAATAAAAAAAAAATATCATGAGTTAGAGTCATAAAATCATGGATCAATAGATTAATAGCTTGATAAGACTAAAGTCACGCGAGAGAAAAAAAACCAGAGAGAGTAAAAGATAAGATAACCAATCGTTTTGGAATGTTGAATAAAAAAAATTCGATGATTCTAACTACATCCTAAAAAGTAGACATTTATCTAAGAAAAAAAAAAAAAGAGAGCAAAGAGAAACATGGTAGATAAAAAGAACATAAATAACGAAAGGGCCGATAACACGTGCAAGCTGTTACAATTATAATATTTTTTTAGTGTTGAAGGACGAACCAGAGGATTTAACGCATCTCGCCCCAACTCCTGGCGACGTATGTGTACCTCTAGAAGATACACCTTTCTTAACAGACATGTTGGATGAATTCATTCTTAGTAATGATAATTATTATCCTTTATTGAGTCCTGGCGTTCCATTGTCGTCTGAATTACGTACTACGGATCTCGGTGAAAGTTTAAAGGACACTACTGATTTAGTTGACAGTACGAGAAACAAATGTTTCGGAGATCCTTTGGCAGATAGCGATCCTTTCATGTATGGTGATTTGCCTAGCAGTCCTTGCAGTATAGATCCAAATTCTGTATCACCTTCTATTTCCAAATATCGTCATGTAAGTTATCCTTATCTGGATAATAATATAATAATAATTTGTTTGTCTTCTTATGAAAATAATTGAATCTATTTTTAGAGTCCGGAACGAAGTGTAGATTCACTTGGTAGTCCTCAAGGAGGTAGTGGTGGAGAAGGACTCTCGGAAGATGAGATGTTGATACTTGGTGTAAGTGACAATACAGTTGACGATGAATTAGCACTTAGAGCACCTTATATACCTATGTCAGATCAAGATGAGGCATTGGATCTTTTGATAAGCAATGATATGGTCATGTGGGGTGCACAACAACCCGTGGATAAATCATCCAAATGGTGCTTATTTTATATCTTTTTTTATTTTCATGATCTTATAGAGAGATCATTTTTAGGGTGATCATATTGTTGTTTTTTTGTACAGGCTTACTGAAGATCGCGAACAACGAGACGTTGTTGATTCCAGTTTAGCACAATTGCTTAGAACTGATCAAGCTGTTGCTCGCAGATACAATGATCACGGTGGAGGTTTGGTTAATCCAGTACAAGTATTGGGTCAAATACCTAGAAAAAGTAAGATATCTCTGAAGATGTTCTTTTACAAGAATTATCAATCGAGATAACACAATTAATAATCGGTTTTTCTTTAACTTACAGATCTCTTCAATGAACAAAATCGTTGGACGATGAAAATGAACGATCGTAACGATAAAACAAATAAACGTATTCACGCGCCATCCAATGATTTGGAGAACGAGAACAAACGTATTAAATGCGAGGATTCATTATCCCTCGAGTTGGCCAAGACACTCGAGAGTAGCAATCAACGTTTGATGTTAGACGAACAAGGAAAATCACGAAGATCGAATAATTTTTCAGGGAGTCAATTATTACGTCGATTGGTATCACAACAGACACTTTCACGTAACAATCGAACAAACGACACCGAGTCTAATAGTTGCAACGATATTGGTATTGGGAAGAACAACAACAACAACAATAATAATAATAATAATATTAATAATAATCGTCGTAGAAGTTTTGAAGATGAACAGCAACGTATTATACGTAACATAAATGAGATTAATAATCACAATGGTGGTGGTAGCAAAAAGAACAACAATAAAATATCTAAAGACGATGACGAGGACGAAGCTGAAGGGGATAGCGGAGGGGGAGGGGATCAGAAAAGAAGACGTTTAACTCAGGAAATCATAATAGAGAACAATCCAACAACAACAGTACAAAATTCAAACAATGGTTCTCATAGGAATCCGCCATATAACAGCGTCCTCATGAATCTCCTGGTGTCCGGCTGCGACGTGAGTGCGGGTTACGTTTGCTTGGTCAAACCAAAACCTTCGAAGAGTATCGCGAGCACGTGAGCAATCACGAGCCACTTTCGTGTTCGTTATCACGTAATTGATATAATTATTATTAATACGTCCTTTTAAAGTATCTCTCTCTTTCTCTCTCTCTCTCTCTTTTCTTTTGTATTTAAAGGACACAGATTTAATTTCCTTTATTTTTGGAAGTAAAAATAAAATTGGGAATATTAAAAGTCAGGACACATGTAGACTTTTTAATACTTAAGCTTTCTTTCTTCGACGTTGTATAATTATTTCATTTGTGATCGATCAATTAAATGTCGCGAGATCTTTGGCTCGTTGATCTCCGTGCTCGTACGATTCTCATACGATTCTCATACGATTCTTCTTTCGTTTCTTATAATATATTTATAAAGAGAGATCTGTTACGAAAGAGATGAAAAGACGAAAGAAAGAAAGAAAGAAAGAATGAGTGTTTATGTGAGAGATTAAAGACAATATATATAAAAGTGGTTTTAGACGCGACGTTGTTGTTTTTATTGGTTGTGTATGGTATAGAGATCTGTGCGCATATCAGTAAGAAGAAAAAAAAAACAATAAAATAATAGGAAAAAACAAGATCTAGGAATAAGTCTCGCGAGAGGCCACACAACACATACCATTTTTAGATTACGATTGCGTCAATGGACAACACACAACAGATATTATGCATGGAAAATAAGAAAAATGGACATTTGTAGTATCGCGATGATTCTATAACGCCATGTTATGTACACACAAATACAAAGTATATGAAGTTGTTGATTAAATATTATCGAAATACATTGAACATTTAACATCGAAATCGCTTGATCTGCTGCGTTCCGTTTCCTGTTCTTTCATCCTTCCATATTCCAGAAAACGTTTCATCGGCTTTTATTCGGATTTTATTTTTTATTTTTGTATTGTTTATTAAAAGTAATTAAAAAAAAAAATAAATAAATAAAAGAATAAAATATTTAAATATTTTTTCTCTTGCTCAGTAATTTTAATAAAAATGTTACTATTTTTGTTTATATTTTTAAAAGTATCTTTTTTCTTTTTTTTTTTAGTTTCAAAGATACACGGAGATTATATGATTAATTAAATTTATTAAATTTGACCTTTTTTTAATTAGTATGTATTTCTTATTTTTTGATATTCATTTTAACGATATTCATTATTTGATATTCATTTTTATTTTTATGAAGAAATTTTATTTGACACACCCGATATAAAACATAGACATTTTTATTTAATATGCTTAAATAATTTTCAAATTCTAATGGAATAAAATTCTATTTGTTGATTTTATAAATGCAATAGCGTTAGAATGTTGTTACGATTGCCGTGACTAATTTGGCTTTAATACCTGTTGATTTTTACTTCGCCATTACTAAATGATTTATTGACGAACAATAACGAGCTAAGATACGAGAGCTATATTATAGAATTTAATTACCTTTATAGAGCAATAACATTGAAGTTTCATAAAATTACAAAAAAAAAAAAAAAAGAATATAAGATATCGATGAAAGAAAACGTTATCTGTCAAGTTATTATTGCCTGTCAAGTTTCGCATTTTCCTATTTCATCATCGTGAAACGCAGCAGTAATGTAATAACATGTAATAAAACAAAATATATATAAAAAAGTACAATTGTTCAATCATTTGTTTTTAAAGTTTAGTAAATTGTTTAGAATTATTAATTAGCGTACAGATCTCTCTTACTATACTAATTAAACTTCGTAGTAATGATTTAGAATAAAAAATTCAAATGCGATACTTTTTCGTGAACATTATCAAGAATTGTTGTTTGAGTTTTGGTTTGACATGTTTTTTGTAATTTTTCTTTTTTTATTATATCGATATTTTTATGTTTCAGGATACTGTAACGAATTCTCGTAACGTGCCAACATTAGGAAATAAATGTTTAACTTCTCCGCTTAGCGTGAATTTGGACAATCAGATGGTCCCACAATGTCCGGACGGATTGAGCAACATATCTTTAGATCGTCTAAGTCCAAGTAGTAGGAAAAATTTTGTCGGTTCATTGAGTGGTGGTAGTATGATTTCACCTTCAACTGGCATAATATCCTTCGATCAGCTCGAGTATGATGTTGTTTGTACCGGCCCAGGTCTACTTCAGATGGATACTGGTTTACTTGAAGGACCGATGGATAAGAATCTCGTTTAAGATTAAACGCGGTCCCTTTAAGAAATTCCAGAACTGCTAGAAAAAAAGAAGTAAGGGGCTCGAATTGCCTAGCTAGTTTGTTACATTTAATAATATACATTTCAATAATGGGGGAAAAAGGGGAATCCTCAAGAAAAATAATAACGTATAAATATAAATTGACATCAGTGATGTGTTCTATCTGAAATTTGTACATAACCAAACATTATGAGCATTTATAATTTAGTTTAGATAGATTATGTTTCTTTTTGATTGATCTCTCTTTTGAAACTACGTTCTATTTTATCCAATAATGAATGTCACAAATAATGTATATGAAAGTGAGATTCAACGGCCATAATAATCGATAAAACATTTTTTATAGGCTCTTTAATAGCTACGCCAGAGTTAATTACCAATTTTATTTTCAGTAAGTTCTGGAATTGATTAGATATAGATAATATATAAGTGGAAGGGCAAAAAAAAATGTATTTTACATATTGACAAAATGGTTTTGATTATAGAACTCGTATAATAATATTAATAAGCATTTTAATATGCTACATAACAACAACAATAATAATAATAATAATAATAATAATAATAATAATAATAATAATAATAATAATGTAAAGATTTCGTAAAAACGGATATTACCTGCAAGTAGAGTATTCAAATGTGTACATCCTATAATTTTATATAATTATTTATATATAATGTATAACGGATCGTACATATTTGAAAAGCGTTTGTAAATTGATAGCCAATCCGAAAAAAGTGATTCGTTTCATTCTAATACAATTAATTATTTTTTGAACACGTAGTATTCTCCAAATTTGCAGATCGTTATCACAATGTGATATTTTTTGTTTTTGTTTTGTTATTGTTCCTTTTTTCTTGTCTCACTTTATCTCTGTCTGCTTTCAATTTCAATTGTTAATAATGTTCATATACAAAGTATATTGACGAGTGACTATTGATTAGAGATTGTTACGTGCCAATACTTTTACGATTAATGATTTTACAAATAATGATTTTAGTATATTTGTTAAGTTCTAAAAATGAAGATTTTATTTACGTTTTATTATCACTTACACCCTCATCATCATTATCATCATTATCATCATCATCATCATCATCATCATCATCGTAATTATCATCGTCATCGCCATCTTTACTTTTGGTTTTTAGACTTTTCGTTTTGAAAATTAAAAAAATGAAGTTACGATCGATTCGAAATTAATTAGAAAATATTCATGTAAATAATATACATTAGAATATATTTTTTTTTTTTTTTTTTTTTTTTTTATATAAAAATCTTTTTAAGCCTTGATCGTTTGGTCCAATTTAAGAATTGATTAAGATGCAAAGCTGAGAGTAGAAAAGAAAAGAAAAGAAAAGAAACAAAGAAGAAAAATGAATTGATTATCTCGTACGATAATATTATAATTCGTGCGTGATAATTATACGGCATTTACGTGTTGCAACAATTATGTGTTGCCTTGTTTGTTGTTATTGTTATAATTTTTATCATATTTTTTGATAAATAATCCTTGTTAAAATCATAATCGTTATAATTACCATTTTACAGACGTAGAAAATATTCTCTGCTGGTACTAACCGAAAATTTTTTCTACACGATGTTTATTAAATTCTAGAAATTATACGAATGAAAATAATTGTAATTAATATTATATATCTGGCCGTATAATATTATAATTATTATTATATGATTGTCATCTATATTAATCATCTTACTATAATCTTAGAGTATCATCCGATATGGATAATAATTAATCGCAAAAAAAAAAAAAATTATGATATAATGAAATGCAGTATCAGGAAGAAAATATTTCTATAAATAATATATTTCTACGTATTTACTGTTTTTCATTTTTTTCTTTTTTTTTTTTTTTCATTGGATTTTAATTTTAATGAATCTTTTTTATTTTTTCTTTTTTCATTAGAAAAGCATCGTTAAAACGATGATATTAAATTAAAAAAAAAATAAATAAAATAAAATAAAGAAAAAAAATTTACTATCACTGTCACCGATAGAAAAATTATCCTAAATTTAACTGCTAATTTTAATAGCTAAATTTTTTTTTTTTTCTTCTTCATATAATGTAACAAGAGTTGACGTTTATTGACGTTTACTATATACAATTTATATTTTGGAGGATGTGTATTTAGATTTCATAATTATATGAACGAGGATTTAATAAAGAATACAAATTCGTGATCGCTTTTTTCGATAGCTGAAAAGCCTAAATATTTTTAGATTGATGTGGTGCACTACATTACCGACGGAGTAACGAAAGAATAATCGTGGGTAAGTATTGGAAGATGTAACTTACGCCATCTGTTAGAATGTTTTATAGTACTATACGATCGAAACGAATATTTTTTATTATTATTTTTTTTTTCTTCTTTTTTTAATTTTTATTTTATCATTCTTTCGTTAATTTTATATTATATTTAAACTTATATCTTTATCCTATATGTATATATTATATATAATATATTTAATTAAAAAAATCATCACAAAGTCAACAATTATCATCTTACCTTTCAGACTATTTCCAAAAATTTTGTATCTCCTTGTAATTAAATCTTCTTTTTCTATTATCGTTAAATACAGTAATATTATTATCTATCATTATCAGTTGATCATCATCATCATCATCATCATCATCATCATTTAAGCGCCATTATTGTATTTCTTTATTATTGTTACAGTTCTTAGAGGACTTTGTCCAGAACTAATAATAAACATCTACGTCTACCGTCTACAATCTACATTCTAAGTCTCTTCTTCATTTTAAACTCACACACTTTCACAGTATTATTATTATATACTTATGTACACATGTTTTTATTATTTTTTTATTTTCTTACTTTCACACACATACACACATTCATACATTACACATCATACATACATATTTTTAATCTCTCTTTCTTTCTTTCCTTCTAGAAATAATGTTGCGTACCTTAGATTATGGTTGAATCTCGGTAAAGCGTTATTTTATTATACCTTTTTATATCATTAACAACAACGTACATGTAAATGAAGAAGTGAATGCTTGGAATATTGAGATTTGATGTTAGTGTGTTGACTTTTTCTTATTTTTTTTTTTTCTTTTTTCTTTTTTTACGTTAGAGATATACTACATTATGAATTAAATGTATTTAGATTTACAAGTATTATTTATCCACTAATCTCTTACAAATTCGCATTTGCACGTGTTTCTTCTTCTTTTCTTTCTCTCTCTCTCTCTCTCTCTCTCTCACTCTCTTTCACTCTTCTCATTCTCTTTCTCCTTTCTTCTTTTTCTTACGTGTGTTACTCAAACATGAGATTTTCAATTGAAAAACTAAACAGAATTGCGTGACTCGTAAATTAGTAAATTCGCATAATCTGATTAATCGATCTAATTAAATCGTTCAATTTTTGTTAGATGAAAAAAAAAACGTAGATAATAAATAAATCGTTTGAAAAATTGTAGATTTTCAATAATCAACCACAAACAGAAATATTTTTTTTTGTCTCATTTATATGTATATAATATATATATTATATGTATATTAATTATATATATATATAATATATATATATATATTATTATATATATAT